TCCAGCCTCCCCTGCCCCATTCTGACGAAGAGTATCTTTCTCTGCAAAACCTTCACAAACAGCGCCTCCCCCAACAAAAGTGCACCACCCTAAACTCTGTAGATACTTCTATCACTGTATCCATGATACTTGCTTATATATTTGTATTCCTCTACCTGACCCAGCTACGACAGCAGGGACTGTGTCATCTTTATTTTTCTGTCCTGGACACTGAATACTGTGATGAGGTGCAAGGTGAGAACCTTATACATGTTTGGTAAGTACGTGAAGGTAACAGTATCACTGTATTCTGTAATGGCCAAACTACATCTAGCCACTGTTTTCATAACCAGGCACTACATTCTAGGAAAGATAATTAACCTTTATGCCAAAGGTTGCAAATGCAAATGCCAAAGAGATAAGGCCAATAATGTTAGCGACAGCCTGGTAGGATGATGGCTGGCTAAGAGGGAAATGTAGCCAACTAATTCAGAAAAATTTTAAAAGGTAATAAAAAGACCACCATTATACAGACCCTTCAAAACACACACTGGCATGCCTGCAAGTGGATATGAGAAGCAAATTTGCAACCTGTTTGCATAAAGGGATTTACACAAGGGGGTAACACAATCAGAACTGCATTTCTGAAAGAACATTCAACAGGATAAACTAGGGTACTACTGAAATAGTCAAGGCAGGAGCTCTAAGGGCCTTAACTAAGACAGTAGCAATGGGGTAAAGGGTGAGGGTGGATTTGAAAGATGATCTGGTTGATCCAGTTTTAATAATGAAGCCCAAGACTGCACGAGCTAATCTGGCAGCTTTATTACCAGTTTGTAGGTTCATAATGAATTTTTTTCAAATAAACTGCTATTAAATCTAATTAATTTTAATAACCTAAATATGGGGCTTAATTCTTATTTCTTTTGCAGGCAGTATGGTACAGTGACTAAAGATTACAGACAGTGAAGCCAGATAGCCTAAGTTTTTTTGTTTTTTGTTTTTGTTTAAATATATCTTTATTGATTTTAGAAAGAGGAAAGGAGAGAGAGAGAGAGAGAGAAACATCAATGATGAGAGAGTCATTGATCGAGCCCGCAACCCGAGCATGTGCCCTGACCGGGAATCGAACCCCGATCGCCTGGATCCTAGGTCGACGCTCAACCGCTGAGCCACGCCTGGCCAGGCCAGAAAGCCTAAGTTTAAACCCTGATTTTGCCACTTACTAGCTGTATAACCTTGGATAAGTTACTTGACTTCTCTTTGTTTCAATACCTACCTTAAAGGGTAACTATAAGTGGAAATGAATTAACATATGAAGTTCTTAGACCAATACCTGGTCCATCTTAAGTGCCATGTAAATTTAAACTTAAATTATTTACTATTTTTTGCATTTCAACTTGAAAGTTATTTTTCAATCAATAGTTTCAATTGTCTAAATATTTTCTACACCTTCCAGCTTGCAAGCATTCACTGTTTATAAATCTGATAGGGATGTCTTTTCAATATCTTCATCCAAACTGGTGTTCAAATTGTTAAACAAAATATAATCAAGAACAGCCCTCCAGGATGGCACTACAAAACAGCCTGTCTAGATAAACACTGATCCACTGTACTTGTACAATACCTGCACGAAGCCAGCCCAAAATCTCCTTTGTCTTGGGATCACATAAGAAAATGTTAAATATCTAATTTTAGCATTTAAGACAGATTATCTTTATAGCATATTCCTGATCCTCCAGACTAGGAACCTTTTCAAAAATAAACTGCCCTGATATACATCAATGTGCTATATGGTAATTATCTCTGGATGGTGTGTGTGGGGGGGGGGGGGTTTTTTTTTTTTTTTTTTTTTTTTTTTTT